CGCGACAGGACACGAGGAGATAGAGCGACCCAAGAAGTTAGATTGCCAGCCGCCGAACTAGCGGCTGGGTATAGACATACCCTTGGAAAACATAAACTTTTCCATTGGAATCAGGCTTAGTTCACTTAACCCAATCCTACCTGCAAAGCCGTGGAATGAGTCACAAGCAGAAAATTCTCTCTTCACAGCTTTTTTGTTTATATTAGAAAATTTGTACCAGTGTAATTAAACCAATTTAAAATTGATGTAGTTACACCAGTGCAAACCCCTAATAAAGACAGGACTTAAGTGACATTTGAACTGGTTTAAATGCATCTTCATTAGGGGTTTGCACCAGTGTAACTAGATCGATTTTAAATCAATTTAGTCACACACTTGCAACTTTTCCAACATAGAGCATGCCTAGAATACAACATGGAACTGGAAGCATGCATTCAAAACAGAGCCACATCATTTGGCGATTGGGCCACATTTCACCACTATTTTTCATTTGCCCTGCCTCTCTCCTCCTTCCACTCTCCTGTACATAACATATGGTTGTTGCATAGTGCCATCCAGTGTGATGGACACATAACATAAGCAAGTAAAACACACACTGCCATTAGAGCTTGCCTCTTGTTCTCAGAATGTGGAAGGTGCTTTATGAGAGCATTTTGCATATTTGGGCCTCCGTGTTAGCAAGTGATTCCCCAAGTGTACACTAATCTATTTTTTTCTTTGGGTGTAATTATAATTAGTGTGTACAAATAATCCATATTACTCCTGGGGGAATTCTGCACCATTGCACAATGCAGAATCTGTGCAGAATTTCATGTTTTCCCTGCAGAATTGGGGCTGCAGAGCTGCTGGCCGCCACTTGGGGCTGCTGGACTCTTCAGAGCCCAGCTCGCAGTGAGTGAAGCAACCAGGGATAGAGGCTGCATACTACGGCTGCCTGGCAATGATCCTCATTCTCCTGGGGACTGGAGAGGGCCTTGGAGACCCAGCTCTGGCAAAGGGTGAGAGATGGGCAGGGCCGCACTACACCATGCCCCACGGTGGGATAGTAAAGAAGCTGGGGGGATTGAAAGCTCTGGAGGTGTACGTGTCTGGGCCAGAGGGGGTGCCCCACAGCTGGGCTCTGGGGGAAGAGAACAGGGGTGTGGGTGTCTGGGACCTGGGGATGCCGCGCAGCTAGGCTCTGGGGGGAGAGAGGTGCAGATGTCTGTGCTTTGGGGGCCCCATGCAGCTCCCTCCAGCAAACGCCAACTGGAACTGGGTTGTCTTAGGGGTTTATTTAACTCCCTACTCCTGGGGGGAATCTTTTTTGTTGTTGTGTGTATTGTTGACATACTTGTTGACATGCCTGATAAATTATCAAAATAATTGAAACTGGAGTGATTATATTGTGTTATTTTGACAAATAAAATATGCAGAATTTTAAAATATTGTGTGCAGAATTTTAAATTTTTTGGTGCAGAATTCCCCCAGGAGTATCCATACGTGCAACTACAAATAAAGAGATGGTGATGCTTTCCCCTTGATCTCACTCTGTGTCTTGTCCTTTCTCCATCATCTAAATAAGTTCTCTGGGGCAGAGACTGACTTTATCTGGTCTGTGCACTTTATCAGCACTGAAACTACCATAATAAAAAAACCCACATAATGATAATCTTGAAAGTCTCTGTAGTCCTGCACAGATTGTAGCTCTAGCAATGCAAAAACACGACACCAAAATCATTAAAATAATCAAGTACCTTGAAAAATAGCCAGGCTGTCATCCACTTCACCACTTTTGTAGCCCAACAGACATTTTTATAGAGCTCGGTGTTCACTACTCCAGGGTCTACTACATTAGCAGTCACATGGCTCCCATCTGCTGTCACTAGATGTTGTAGTCGATAGGTAAACAATACAAGGGCAAGTTTGCTTTGGGCATAGGCTCCATGGGGTGAATAAGAACATCTGCATAGAAAAGAGAGAGACAGGAAAATAATCAGAAGAAAAATGTTGTAGCACAGATATCACATGCATTGCCAGTTTGCTAAATTATGCAGTAGACAGCAACACAGTAAGTAGGCACAGGAAAGCCTTATCACTTGAAAGCAGATTGCTTGTTGTAGTTCTGATGACTATTTCACTAGATTAAATTACTGCTTTATGGAAAATATCTTAGATAAACATACATGTCATCAGACTCTGTGCTGCAAACAATTTACGATAGGTATCATTTTCCCTGGAAATGCTGAAATATCAAGCCACAGAATGCCCCAGTCTCATTCCTCCTATTATCATTTATTTATTTATTATTTATACTACTGCAGCACCTATTGGGCCCTGATAATGGTTGCATTATGTTGCCCCAGATCATAGGATTATGACAAGATACAACAAGTGGATAAGCAGGCAAAAGTGTGATGGTTAGCATGGTGACAAGTTAATTAAAAGTTGCACTACAGAAGTCATAAAACCTTTAACATTGGAAGGTAATTATCTGGTTATAACTGGTTAGAACAACGGTTTAAATGGAGCCCATTACAAACGCCATATGTAATGCAAACATAAAAATGATAGAATCTGTCAAAACATTTATGTTAAGAACCCATGTGCCTGTTCTGTGACTCAGATGTTGGAAGTTCTGGTCTTCAAATTCCTCAAAGTCAACCTTCTTACTTAGTAGTTGCTGATTAGTCATGTTTCACTTCATTTTTTTCAATTCTGTCTGAATGAAGAATGCTACTGTCAAGGAAATTAGTAGGTACGTCACTGAAAATACTCCCCCAGATTGGGGTTTCAACATCACTTCCATGACAACTCTGCTTCTGTAATTACTGCAGAACTTTCATTTAATCTCTCTGCGCCTCACAGAGCCAAGGGTAATGCCTAGAAAGATTTTCTGTGTTTTGTTATGCACAAAAGAATATGTGCTGACTGAATGGTAATGGTTTCTCAGAATTCTGTTTTTTCTTAATTTCCCATGTAATACCTGGCTTTTAATGTTCTGTACACTTGACTAATCAGCCTTGAGATGGAAGAATAGGCCTCTAGCAAGCATTCTCACGTCATGCAGATCTATAAGTCCACTGGAGCTATCTAACTGTTAGCAGTGGATACCAGCAATGTGGATAATCAGGTACTTTCAGAAGCAACTCTAATAGCCAAGTCTCTTTGTTTTCGGTGTTTACCAATTTCTCTCAGAAAAAATCTCCAGCTATTGGAAAAGCTAGTGTTTGGATTTTACAGTTTTCACCTGAATTTTTGCTTTTGCAGGTCCTGGGAATTTCTTGAAGACAGACAGGAAGGGAACCAGGTCCCGGCACCCAAGACCACCTGACCGCTGCAGCGATGGGCCCGCATGGAGTGGAACACTACACCCCATGAGTATTGGGTCCCCTTGCCAGACAGAACACTCTCCTGATCTCAGGGCCAGGGAGAAAAGGGGGTTCTCTCTGACAGGGCTATCAGTACTCACGGGGTGCAGCCTTCTGCTCACTTCCTGATGCTGGCCCTTCAGCATGGCTCCTGTCTGCTTCCTCTGCCCAGTGGAGGAGCAAGAAGGGTAGGGAGCCAGGCCCCAGCAGCCACAACCACCTGACTGCTGCAGGAAGCAGAAGGCTTTCTTGACTGTCACATGGTGGATAACCTTACCTGCCCTCTCCCCCACACCCCTGTCCCCCAGGAGTTCCAGACACCCCTGCCCCCAGGCCAGCTGCCCTTCATTTTTGTTTTTTACTGATTTTTCACCCTTAAAAAATAATTTAACAAACACCGATAAATTCCAGGGAAATTTAAGAAAAGAAATAAAAACTGAAAGCAAAGGGCCGTACTTGCATCCCAGCTGCAGGAAGTAAAGAAGGATAATATTAACTCTCCAGTTCATTTTCTTTAATTGTTTCTATATTTGTCCAAAAGAAAAAGTCAAGTAGCAACAAAAACAAAATGACAGTATAACTTTGAGAGACAAGGTGGGTGAGGTAATATCTTTTATTGGACCAACTTGTGTTGGTGAAAGAGACAAGCTTTTGAGGTACACAGAGCTCCTCTTCAGGTCTAGGAAATGTACTGACAGTTTTACAGCTAAATACAAGATGGAACATAAGCAGTTAACACATATTTCAAGGGACCTTTCAAGGTGAAGTGGCCACTTGAAATGGTCCCTTGAAATATGTGTTCACTATTTAGGCTAAACAAGCTGTTCCACCATGTATATAGCTGTGAGATAGTAATAAAGAAGATCATATAAAGTGTCAGAACATCAGTCAATTGCCTGAGCTGTAACATAATAGATAAAGTAGCTCAACCATTATAAAGGTATCAGTTGGCTCTAGGAGTGGACTAGGACTTTTTAATAATGAATAGAAACTACTTTAAGTGTTACTGCACTGGAATAAAAGTGACTGAGTTAGTCAAAGTAGTGCACTTATAGCAGGGGTCGGCAACGTTCGGCACGCGGCTCACCAGGGTAAGCACCCTGGCGGCCGGGCCAGTTTATTTACCTGCTGACGAAGCAGGTTTTGCCAATCGCGGCCCCCACTGGCCATGGTTCGCCGTGCCGGGCCAATGGGGTCGGCGAGAAGTGGCGCGGGCGAGCGATGTGCTGGCCGTGGCTTCTCGCCGCGCCCCATTAGCCCAGGATGGCGAACCGCGGCCAGTGGGGGCCGCGATCGGCCAAACCTGCTGCATCTGCAGGTAAATAAAACTGGCCCGGCCCGCCAGGGTGCTTATCCTGGCGAGCTGCGTGCCGAACGTTGCTGACCCCTCAGTTATAGTTTAGATTTGCTAATGTCTGCACATCTCTGGAAATTCAGTCTGTACTCAAAATATCACCTTATTCTTCACACATATTTTGACATTTTAAACAGTTGCACCAATGTAAAATTGGAATGTAGACTTGCCCTAAGTAACTTTTTTATTTTTTATTTTTATTTTTTTTGGTCTCTGAGAGGATATAAGTACCTCTGCAGGGATGCCTGCCAGGAAAGACTTGTCCTAGCCATTTTAGGTGTAGCTTGTGTGGGGGTGTGTATGTGACCAGTTATAGCGGATGCATATAAGTCCATAGTACAAGTTACCACTGGGCATCAATTAACCTAGGTTCAAAGCAGATCACTCGATGTCACTCTGGGTATGAAAAGGAATCTAACCTTAACACATTATTTCCACAATTGAAAGTATAAGCAGCTAAATCAACTCCACAGAGACAAAAAGACTAAGTACACCATTCTGTCATTATGTTAACTTTATAATTTGATTACTGACTGTGCTCATGCTATTGTCTGAACAATTATTGGTCTCAAATTGCTTTCTTTTTAGCTAACCAATTTTAATTTGTATTATTGTTAACTCCTTGATTTACTAACTTGATTTACATTGTAACCTCAATCTAAATTTCATAGTGTTTAGAACTTTAGAGAAATATAATAAGTTAGTTACCTAGTAGTTGTTTATGGTCTTGAATAAAGGTAATGAAAACACATTGGATTGGTTTTCTCTGATCAAATGGTAATGAGGTAAAAATAATCTTAATTAAAGGGACTTGAATTAAACATTAATAAAACATTTGACACAGGTCCTGAAAACCCAATTACTACTATTAATTCCATTATTTCTTGTCTTACTTTTGCTAACTAATGAAATTCCTCTCCCTCCTCATATGTGCTCGTGTATCATAATTGTATCCCTTATAATCCAGGTAGTACAATATATATTTAACTCCCTGAATTTAGCCTCCAAGCCTATCAATTTCAGTGTAAACCTTTCACCACCCTAGTTGCTCTTCTGTGCACTTTCCACTTTCTCTATGTTCTCTCTGTAGCATCTTTTATAAAATTGTGCAAGAAAATTGAACAAATTTTGAGATCCTTCAACCGGAAGGATCTCAAAATGCTTTACAGAGCATCTGCAATGCTGACAGTTTCTGCTCATTGGGATCAAACCTGGGACCTCTGGAGCCTAGTGCATGAGCCTCTACTGCATGAGCCAAAAGCCAGAGGCTTCTTAGTTAAGGCTGTAGAGCAGACTCATTAATCTCTAAGTGGTCTCAGTGCCACTAGAGGGGACAAAACACCACATTCAGGAGGTGTGTGGGTTACACATACACAGCAATTATTTCTCCTACCAGTGAACAGAAATCCTCTCTAGAGGGAATTCTGCATCAGCTATACTACATAGTAGTGGAAAGAAAGAATAATTTACTCAATTGAAACTACAAGGGAAAGTAAGATAGACGGAATCAAATGAGTCAAAACACCAGAATGAACAACTGTTACTCTTATGAAAATGCTTTGGAATCTCCAGTGACCCACAGCTGATCAGGATTAGATCTGGGTGACAATTTTCTGTTTAAACTGTTTTTAACAGAAAATGTGGTTTTTGACTAAACAATTTTGTCACAAAAAGAATCTGTTTTCCATGGAAATTTTTGACTTTTCATTGACAACTATTTTGTTTTATTTTTTAGATGGAAACCCAATTTTTTCCCCAATTTTTTGCCAAAATGTTTGGGGTTATTAATGAAAGATTTGTTTGGTTTGGTTTGGTCTAAATTTGCAGCGAAATAAAAAATATTTCCAATCAATTATAATCAGGAAGTTGGTTTTACAAATCATCCATAAGGGGCTATCTCCAACCGCTGCCTCACTAGCATCTCTACAAACCCAGGTTTCCCTCTACACACCCCTCCAGGTAAATGTCCTAATCATAAGGCTATACAGTCATAGTCACTCTCTCTGGCTCAATGAATATTTAATTATTTCATACAAAGTAGAACAACTTCAACAGGAGATGTTAAGAAAGACCCACCACTACCATCACCTCCTCCTCCAGCTATGTTTTCTGACTCTAGCCCTTAATTTCTTTTAGTTTTACTAAAAGTACCCAAAGCAAAATGTTTAATTTCAGGTCGAATGAAATGTTTTGTTCAACCCAAACCAATTTTTTTTGGAACTACCAGTGAAACAAAAAAT